CTAGCCTCTGGCCCGTATGTTTCTCCCAGAAGAGCTCCTGGTCCCCATACAGGTGCTCACACGTGGAACTCCCTCCATCGTCGATGAACAGGGCGGATTTCTCCTGCGGCTGCCAGTCTGTCCCCCGGACACCCCCCAGGGAGTGGATCCCGTGACCCCAGATTCAAGTGAAGAAGTCCTCATGCCCAGAACGTCAGAATGGGACTGTATTTGGAGACGGGGGTCTTTGTAAAGATGATCGAGGCAGAATGAGGTCGTGGGGGTGGGTTCTAATTCCATATGATTGGGGTACCCGTAAGAGGGGGAGATTGGTCACAGACAGGGGCACAGAGGGGAAACCAGGAGGGAGTGAAGGGGTGTGGCGGCGTAATGGAGCCCCAAGCCAAGGGGTGCAGAGCAGCAAGAAAGGCCTGCTTCCCCATCAGCCATCTTCCCTCACGGCCTCCTCCCCCACGTCCCCCTCCATCTCCTCCTCCACCTCCTCCTCCATCTCCTCCTCCATCTCCTCCCCCACGTCCCCCTCCATCTCGTCCTCCACCTCCCCCATCTCCTCCCCCATCTCCTCCCCCATCTTCCCCTCCATCTCCTCCTCCATCTCCTCCTCCACCTCCCCCTCCACCTCCTCCTCCATCTCCTCCCCCATCTCCTCCTCCATCTCCTCCATCTCCTCCCCCACGTCCCCCTCCATCTCCTCCTCCACCTCCCCCTCCACCTCCTCCTCCATCTCCTCCCCCATCTCCTCCTCCATCTCCTCCATCTCCTCCCCCACGTCCCCCTCCATCTCCTCCTCCACCTCCCCCACATCCCCCTCCATCTCGTCCTCCACCTCCCCCATCTCCTCCCCCATCTTCCCCCATCTCCTCCCCCATCTTCCCCTCCATCTCCCCCTCCATCTCCTCCTCCATCTCCTCCCCCACGTCCCCCTCCATCTCGTCCTCCACCTCCCCCATCTCCTCCCCCATCTCCTCCCCCATCTTCCCCTCCATCTCCTCCTCCATCTCCTCCTCCACCTCCCCCTCCACCTCCTCCTCCATCTCCTCCCCCATCTCCTCCTCCATCTCCTCCATCTCGTCCCCCACGTCCCCCTCCATCTCCTCCCCCACGTCCCCCTCCATCTCCTCCCCCACGTCCCCCTCCATCTCCTCCTCCACCTCCCCCATCTCCTCCCCCATCTTCCCCTCCATCTCCTCCCCCATCTCCTCCCCCATCTTCCCCTCCATCTCCCCCTCCATCTCCTCCTCCATCTCCTCCCCCACGTCCCCCTCCATCTCCTCCCCCATCTTGCCCTCCATCTCCTCCTCCACCTCCCCCACATCCCCCTCCATCTCCTCCTCCACCTCCCCCATCTCCTCCCCCATCTTCCCCTCCATCTCCTCCTCCATCTCCTCCTCCATCTCCTTCCCCACGTCCCCCTCCATCTCCTCCCCCATCTTCCCCTCCATCTCCTCCTCCATCTCCTCCTCCATCTCCTCCTCCATCTCCTCCCCCACATCCCCCTCCACCTCCTCCTCCACCTCCCCCATCTCCTCCCCATCTTCCCACTCCATCTCCTCCTCCACCTCCTCCTCCATCTCCTCCCCCACGTCCCCCTCCATCTCCTCCCCCACGTCCCCCTCCATCTCCTCCCCCACGTCCCCCTCCATCTCCTCCCCCATCTTCCCCTCCACCTCCTCCTCCACCTCCCCCATCTCCTCCCCATCTTCCCCTCCACCTCCTCCACATCCCCCTCCATCTCCTCCTCCATCTCCTCCCCCACGTCCCCCTCCATCTCCTCCTCCACCTCCCCCACATCCCCCTCCATCTCCTCCTCCACCTCCCCCATCTCCTCCCCCATCTCCCCCCCATCTCCTCCCCATCTCCCCCTCCATCTCCTCCTCCATCTCCTCCTCCATCTCCTCCCCCACATCCCCCTCCATCTCCTCCTCCACCTCCCCCATCTCCTCCCCCATCTTCCCCTCCATCTCCTCCTCCACCTCCCCCACATCCCCCTCCATCTCCTCCTCCACCTCCCCCATCTCCTCCCCCATCTTCCCCTGCATCTCCTCCCCCATCTCCTCCCCCATCTCCTCCATCTCCTCCCCCATCTCCCCCTCCATCTCCTCCTCCATCCTCTCCATCTCCTCCCCTATCTTCTCCTCCTCCACCTCCCCTATCTCCTCCCCCATCTCCTCCATCTCCTTCCCCATCTGCCCTTCCATCTCCTCCATCTCTTCCACCTCCTCCATCTCCCCCTCTTGCTCCCACCTTTTGGAAACAGTGAGGTTTTTTTTTTTGTCTGACTACATTTCACCCTTAGCTCACTCCAGCACTTGCCTCCTATACACCCAGAGGCGTCCCTTTCCTTCCGAGGGACGAGCCTGAGCTTGATCGGGCAGGGGATGCTCTCTCGGAGCAGCTGTTGGAGGGCCTTCCTGAGATGCTGCATAACTCCCCTTCATCAGCTCGCAGCAATCAACTTTCAAAACCATCCCATATGTCGGAGCATGGAGCGGGGGGCCCCAGGTTAGAGCCAGGACACAGGCCACACTGAGGTTAAGATCTGGATGCAATTACGGGCGGGATCCAGGCATCTCCATAGTGCTTCAGGGACCACTTGGTCTTGGAGTCACTTATAATTGCGTGCTCGGAAATTACTCACCCTGAAATTGCTGGGGGCCGGAACGGACTCTGCCCACATGCGTCCCCCACCCCTCCCGGAGAAGGAAGAGGGGGGAGGGGAGGGTGTTGACTGTGTGGAGGCCTGTCTGTGAAGTCTCAGGATACTCCCAACGTGACCCCCAGGCCTGATGCAAGAGAGAGCCCTCAACACTTCCAGTGGGCTTCAGCTCAGTTCAGTTCAGTTGCTCAGTCGTGTCCGACTCTTTGCGACCCCATGGACTGCAGCACGCCAGGCCTCCCTGTCCATCACCAACTCCCGGAGCTTGCTCAAACTCATGTCCATCGAGTCAGTGATGCCATCCAGCCATCTCATCCTCTGTCGTCCCCTTCTCCTCCTGCCCCCAATCCCTCCGAGCGTCAGGGTCCTCTCAAATGAGTCAGTTCTTCACATCAGGTGGCCAAATGATTGGAGCTTCAGCTTCTGCATCAGTCCCTTCAATGAACATTCAGGACTGATCTCCTTTAGGATGGACTGGCTGGATCTCCTTGCAGTCCAAGGGACTCTCAAGAGTCTTCTCCAACACCACAGTTCAAAAGCATCAATTCTTTGGCACTCAGCTTTCTTTATGGTCCGACTCTCACATCCATTATGACCACTGGAAAAACCATAACTTTGATTAGACAGACCTTTGCCAGCAAAGTAATGTCTCTGCTTTTAAATATGCTGTCTATGTTTGTCATAGCTTTTCCTCCAAGGAGTAAGCATCTTTTAATTTCATGGCTGCAGTCACCATCTGCAGTGATTTTGGAGCCCAAGAAAATTAAGTCTCTCAGTGTTTCCATTGTTTCCCAATCTATTTGCCATGAAATGATGGGACCTGATGGATCTTAGTTTTTTTGAATGTTGAGTTATAAGCCAGCTTTTTCACTCTCCTCTTTCACTTTCATCAAGAGGTTCTTTGGTTCCTCTTCTCTTTCTGCCATAAGGGTGGTGTCATCTGCATGTCTGACCATTATTGATATTTCTCCTGGCAATCTTGATTCCAGCTTGTGCTTCATCCAGCCTGGCATTTCACATGATGTACTCTGCATAAAAGTTAAATAAGCAGGGTGGCAATACAGCCTTGACATACTCTTTTCCCAATTTTGGCTTAGACTATTCAAAATCCCACCTTGGTCTCCTCTGTGTGATTCTCTCTGCTTTCTGCATATCTTGAGCCCTTCGGGTAAAGATGCTGCCTTACCCCTGGACCAAGCCATCAGAGCTATTGGACTTCCCTGATGGATGCCTGGCGACCCAGATGGTAAAGAATCTGCCTGCAACGTGGGAGATCCAGGTTTGATCCCTGGATCCCTGGAGGAGGGAATGGCAACCCGCTCCAGGATTCTTGCCTGGAGAATTTCAAGGACCGAAGAACCTGGCGGGCTACAGCCCACGGGGTTGCAAAGAGTCAGACATGACTGACCGACTAACACTCTCCCTGTTTTTTAAATCCCCAGACCACAGGGTGGGCGGGGCTGGCTGGTCACCATGGAAGCAGCAGTGCTCTGGGTCCAGAACTGTCCAGCTGGATAAATTCACAGCAAGTTGTTTCTAAGACGCTGAACCTATCTGCTGAACAAACCAGCAGTGTTGGGTGGAAAAAAAATGAACTGATGTTGATGAAAAAAAAAAAAAATGATGAACTAGTGTTGAGTGGAGCCAATTGCCGCAAGTGGCTTGCACAGTAAAATGTCTTGGCTTATTTATGAACTTTTTAGAGTTTCTAAACCTAAAAATATTGACCTTGGGACTTTCCTGGTGATTCAGTGGTGAAGACTTCACCTTCCAATGCAGGGGCTGTGGGTTTGATCCCTGGTTGGGAAGCTAAGATTCCACATGCCTTATGGGCAAAAGAAGAAGAATATACAACAGAAGCAGTATTGTAACAAATACAATAAAGACTTTGAAAATGGTCCACATTAAAAAAATCTTTAAAAAATATTGATCTTATTAAAAGAAATATATACAGAGACACAATTGGTTTATTCAAAGAAGAGGTTCAAGTTGGTCCAGCGACAGGAGGAAATGAATCAATCAGAAAAATAAGTGCAACGATTTAAAGAAAGACAAGTGACTGTTTTCATGGAATACTGTCAGAAGTGATTTGAAATTGTTTCCATTTAACAGGACTTCCCCAGAGGCTTACCAGTAAAGAGTCTGCCTGCAGTGCAGATGTGGGAGACCTGGGTTCAGTCCCTTAGTCTGGAGGATCTCCTGGAGGAGGAAATGGCAACCCACTCCAGTATTCTTGCCTGGAGAATCCCATGGTTTCCAGAGCCCTGGTGGGCTACAGTCCACGGGGTCGCAAAGAGTCAGACATTAGTGAAGGAACTTAGCAAATGATATCATGGGATGGGGATCATTTAACTAAAAAAAAAAAAAAAGCATAATCATGAGAAAAGCACAAACATTTTTCGAAGGTGATGAGATGCCTTGCTCCCGGGATCGGACGTGGGATACCCCCACTCAGATTGGGGGCCGCCTCTCCATTTTTTGCAGACCTAGAACCTTGTAGAATCTTCTGAGCATGGGGTGTTGATTTCCTGTGATTTGAAAAACAGACAGCAGAAATAGTGTAAGAAGCGGACACAGAAGGACACACACAGTGTGTTATGACATTGACAGGAAACGTCAAGAACAGGTGAATCCACAGACAGAAATTGGGCTCGTGGTGTGGGGGCTGGGGAAGGTGGCGCAATAGCTCATGGGGTTGGAGTCTCCTTCTGAGGGCGTGAGAAGGTTCTGAAACCAGACAGAGGTGGTGTCTGCACAGAGCTGTGGACGCACTAAATGCCCCTGACTTGTCCCCTTTGGTTAACATGGTGACGTTTACATTATGAGCAAAAGTGAAAACGTTAGTCATTCAGTTGTGTCCGACTCTTTGTGGCCCCATGGACTGCAGCATGCCAGGCTTCCCTGTCCTTCACTATCTCCCGGAGCTTGCTCAAACTCATGTCCATTGAGCTGGTGATGCCATCCAACCATCTCATCCTCTGTCGTCCCCTTCTCCTCCTGCCTTCAATCTTTCCCAGCATCAGGGTCTTTTTTTTCCAGTGAGTCATCTCTTCCTGTCATGTGGCCAAAGTACTGGAGCTTCAGCTTCAGCATCAGTCCTTCCAGTGAATATTCAGGACTGATTTCCTTTAGGATTGACTGGTTTGATCTTCTTGCTGTCCAAGGGACTCTCAAGAGACTTTCTGAAGAGTAAGTGTGAGCTGTCCTCTCCTCTCTTCCTGCTGACTGGAATGCAGGCATGAGGGCTGGAGTCCATGCAGCTACATTGGACCACGAGTAGAAAGTCACATACTGAGGATGATGGAGCCATAACGTGGAGGATGCCTGACACCCTGGATCTCCACAGCAACCCTGAACAGTTCACTCTGGCCTCCTGTCACATCAGAGAGAAATAGACAGTCATCTCACTTAAGTCCTTGTAGCTCAGTTGGTAAAGAATCTGCCTGCAGTGTAGGAGACCTGGGTTCGATCCCTGGGTTGGGAAGACCCCTTGGAGAAGGAAATGGCAACCGACTCCAGTATCCTTGTCTGGAAAAATCTCATGGACAGAGGAGCCAGGCGGGCTGCAGTCCATGGGGTCAAAGAGTTGGGCACAACTGAGCAACTAACTCTTACTTACTTACTTATTGTTTTGTTTCCATAATATTCTGTTAAATCCCAATACTAGAATATCTATCCATTTATCTATCTCTGTATTTATCTGTCAATATCATCTAGCAGTCAATCCATCAATCATCTTTATCATCTATCTATATCATCTATCAATCTATGTTTATCATCTATCAATATATCTATCCTTATCATCTATCTATCTTTATCTGTTAAATCCTAATACTAGAGTGTCTATCCATCTATACATGTATTTATCTATCAATATCATCTACCAGTCAAGCAATCAATCTTTATCATCTGCCTCTATCATCTATCAAGCTATTTATTTCTCTGTCTTTATCGTCTGTCTCTATCATCTGAGTATTTGCATATCTTTATCATCTATCAACCTATCTATCTTTATCATCAATCAATCCATCTATCTATCTTTACCATCTATCTTTGTCATCTATCTTTATCATCAATCAATCTATCTTTATCATCTATCACCTTATCTATCTTTATCATCAATCAATCCATCTATCTTTATCATCTATCTTTATCATCAATCCATCCATCTATCTTTATCATCAATCCATCCATCTATCTTTATCATCTATCTTTACCATCAGTCAATCCATCTATCCATCTTTATCATCTATCACCCTATCTATCTTTATCACCAATCAATCCATCTATCTTTATCATCTATCTTTATCATCCATCCATCTACCTTTATCATCTATCTTTACCATCAATCCATCCATCTATCCATCTTTATCATCTATCACTCTATCTATCTTTATCACCAATCAATCCATCTATCTTTATCATCAGTCAATCCACCTATCCATCTTTATCATCTATCTATGTGTCTATCCATCTAGCCACCTATTTTGTGTCCACTGCATCCCCAGGTTCCATGAACCTGGTACCTAGAAACGTTTTACCTGAACTGCCGCCTGCCCATCAGCCTCACTATGGTGCTTTGCATGGTGGCTTCAGAATGAACGTCCTTACGTTGTGTTTGTAAAATAAACACTCTCATTCCCTGGGAGGCAGCGAGCGAGCGAGGCCTTCACAAGACCCCTGGGGCATGTTTTCCTTACATCAGTGGCGGCCGCTCAGGCCAAGCAAGCACCGTTCCCTGGCCATGAGCACCTCCCGGCTGGATGAGGGGACCCTCCGAGGGTCTCCCCTGCAGTTTCTCCAACGTTGGCCCCCTCCCCGCTGCAGTAATCTCCCTACGACATCACTGTCACCTCCCGACTCTCGACTGTCAAGTCGTCTCCCACCTCTCCTCTCCCTGGGGCCACGATGACACAGTCGGAGGGCAAAGGAATGCAAGTCAAGAATCTTTAGTCCCGCAGAGAGCCCTCGGGCCTGTGAGGCCAGATGGGACCTTGCATCACTTGGCCCAGTACAGCTGTTTCTCCAGCCGGGAATGTTTCAGAAATCACCCACACGTAAAACACATTTAGAGAAAGCTGAGCGCCGAAGAATTGATGCTTTTGAACTGCGGTGTTGGAGAAGACTCTTGAGAGTCCCTGGGACTGCAAGGAGATCCAACCAGTCCATCCTAGAGGAAATCAGTCCTGAATATTCATTGGAAGGACTGATGCTGAAGCTGAAACTCCAATCCTTTGGCCACCTGATGCGAAGAACTGAGTCATCTGTAAAGACCCTGATGCTGGGAAAGATTGAGGGCAGGAGGAGAAGGGGACGACAGAGGATGAGATGGCTGGATGGCATCACCGATTCAGTGGACATGAGTTTGGGTAAACTCCAGGAGTTGGTGATGGACAGGGAGGCCTGGCGTGCTGCAGTCCATGGGGTCACAAAGAGTCAGACACAACCGAGTGACTGAACTGAACTGAAAACACATTTCCCATCCTTGCTCTCCAATGTAAATCCTAAAATCTTTTTTAGCGTGACGTCCCTGGACCTCTGTGCTCTGACCCAGTCTTGCTTTCCTAACAACAACCCTGCTGAGAGCTTTACAGAACCTGCTACTTGGGCCACTCTGGCCTTTTTATTTTTCATCTTTATTCTTTTTGTAACTTTTTATCTTACACTGGAGTATAACAGTCCATGGTGGAAGAAGGGATGGCAACCCACTCCAATATTCTTGCCTGGAGAATCCCATGGACAGAGGAGCCTGGCGGTCTCCATGGGATCTCAAAGAGGCAGACACGACTGAAGTGACTAAATATGCAGAGCCTTCTATGGGGTCAAAACAGTCAGACAGAACTTAGGGACGGAACAACAGCAACAGAGTTGATTTACAACGTTGTGTTAGCTTCCAGCATACAACAAAGTGTTCAGTTACGCATAGGCGTGTATCTATTCTCGTTTGTTTCTTTTTTATTGATCTTCTGCTGTTGTTGTTTCTTTCTTAAAAACTTTTTATTTTATTGTTGTTATTGTTCAGTTGCTGGGTCGTGTCTGTTACTTTGCGACCCCATGAACTGTACCGCACCGGGCTCCTCTGTCCACGGGGATTCTCCAGGCAAGAACACTGGAGCGGGTTGCCATGCCCTCCTCCAGGGGATCTTCCCGACCCAGGGATTGAACCGGTGTCTCCTGCGTTGCAGGCAGATTCTTTACCATCTGAGCCATCAGGAAAGGCCCATAAGTTAAGGTGATCTCATTCAAATAGACCTTAATTTGGGAAAGCGTCCTTTGCCTTTGAAAAGGGTCTCTCTCACGGAATGTCAGACAGAATTTCCAAGGGACAGGCCAAAGTTTGGTGTCAAGCCTTGACCGCAGTGTGTGAAATCATTTGTGTGCGTGGTTTTTTTTTTTTTTTCTTTCTTTTTTTCTTTTTGCACCTCTCTGGGGACCTCTGGGATCACTTTATTATTTATAGATTAAAGAGCATTGTTGCTAATTAGCACTGTTCTAGTTGTCGGTGGGTAGACGGGCTTTCTTTGAAGTCTCTGTGATTTGTATTTTGGGAATTCCAAACACTGCCGTAGTTGGCATAGTTTTGGACGTCGGAACCTGCTCTCGTAAGCAATTAATTTCGTGATCCGTGGTCCTGAGTTCTTGTCAGTCGTCCCAGGACATTCCAGACGGGATCGGTTTCTGAGAACTCATTATTTTCGGTCAGTGGAGACGGCTTCCTGACACTAAGTCTCGGAGTCAGTTCTGGGGGGATGCCCACACTGCCTGCATCCTCTGTGTCAGTCGCTCAGTCGTGTCTCTTTGTGACCCCATGGACTGCACACAGGCCTCCCTGTCCATCACCATCTCCCGGAATTTGCTCACACTCACGTCTATCGAGTCGGTGATGCCATCCAACCATCTCATCCTCTGTCGCCCCCTGCTCTTCCTGCCTTTAATCTTTCCCACCATCAGCGTGTTTTCCAATGAGTCGGCTCTTTGCATTGTGTGGTCAAAGTATTGGAGCTTCGGCTTCCTCCAATTAAAATAAATTTAAAAAAAAATACAATGCTGGAACCCCCAGGCATGAAAGTAAATCAACGCCCAAACGAATACCTCCTACTGCCGTTACATCACACCCTTTCTTGACATTTCTTCCTTTGAGTCTCAAAACGGTCTGAAAGTCTTCTTAGGGCTTGCAGAAATTACAGAGTTGCCTGAAGCAGGGACATCCCTGGGTTTTCCTTGGCTCCCTGGAAACTCCTTTGCGATGTTTGCTCCGATCAGAGTCTTTGGGGGAAAGGGTTTTTTGTTAATTGCCCCATCGCTGAGATCCTGACCTTTATCTGATCTCTGTCCTTCCCACAGGAGACCTTAGGAGGGAATCTCAGCATCCCTTCGTCACAGCAAGGGAACGAAGCTTGTCGCCACAACGTGTGTGCAATTTTTCAGCCCTGTGAAACTGCTTTTAATCTGAGGGCGGTATAGCGTTTCCACTCCCCTCTAACCTTTCAGCCAGAACACCCAGATTTCACGGACGGCAGAAATTACAGCCACTTTTGCTGTCCATCTCGTTTTCGTTCCGTCTCCCTGCCGTTCCTGATGAAAAGCTCCCCTCCTCCCCTCTGGGTTGGGCGGGGGTGGGGGGGACGGTGTGGGGGGGAAGGGGTTAGAAATTCAAGACGCCCTTACAGCTTAACACGTTTCACACTTTGATTTCACTCAAGGAGGAAACGTGAGGATTTCCGAGAGTAAACCTTAGCAAGTCACAGGAACATCAAAGGGAGATGAAGAGGAGCTCGAAGGGGTTGGGGGGGTGGGGAGGCCCACGTGGGTTCTTGGATGCATCCCCTGGCGTGGAGAGTTTACAGG